TCTGATCTTTTCTAAAACTAAATTTCTTTCTTCATACAATGGGCTTGCTCAATTAATCCATTAATGTTTTGGGCTTGTCAATTAATTCCATTAATGTTTTAGGCCTGCACAATCTCAATTCAGCCCTCAATTCCTCCTTCAGTCCATTTGAAAAAAAGTTCCCCATGAAGAGTCTCTCTTACTCATGCAAGGGAGCTGACATTGCCTCAAATTGTTCTTGAACTCAGTCACAGTTCCTGACTGTCTTAACGCTACCAAAGCCTTGTAAGTTGTCCCTAGTGCGATGGTTTAAAACGTTGACTAGCGCTGACTTGAAGGAGCTCCACGAGAGAATCGGTGCTCAGGTGTCAACCCACTGATACCAGTTTAACGCGCGTCCCTCCATGCAAATAGCAGCTGCATCCACCTTCTCTTCTTCCCGAATTTGTTCATCGGAAATATCTTTCAGCTCTGAAAGTCATCCTAGTGGATCTTCACCATTGAACATAGGTAATTCCAATTTTCTTCCTTTTGCGATCTTCTTTGCTGTTTTCGTATTCCCTTCGTCGATCCAGGGTATTTGATCCTCCGGTGTGTCACTTCCTACCTTATTAGTGCTTTTACTTTCGTCTTTCTCATCTTTACCTTGTCCATTCTCGAAGCTCAAGGAGGTAACCCTTGATGCTCCCCATTTCCTCTTTCATGTTCCACATCTTCTTCTCAATTCCGTTAACATCTCGTTCCATTTTTGCTTTTACCATTACCCAAGACACTGGCTCTGATACCAATATTGATGGGACCCCAGCAAACTCAATCAAAAATACACACAACACATCCACAAAATCCAGAGCAACTATGTAAACCAAACAATATATTGATTGAAGGTTGAACAGTTTGATGAGCTGCAATCAGACTTAATGCAAACAAAAAAAAGAAAACAAGAAAGGAAAGTCCTAGCAATTCGAGGAGTAGGGGCCTCTATTGACAACCTTTTTAGAGGAAAAATATGATATGTATATTCCTATTCAACTACCTTAATATACTAGTGACCTTTACTATATTTTGCCACGTACTCTACTCACTTGCATTCTCTAACGAATCCTATGGCATAACAACTTTAGAGACCACCTTTATGTGATTCACACATCTCACACCCTTCTGCCCTGGTTCCCTTGTATTGATAAAACTGATTGATTCGGGGTATCGTACCCCATAAAGAGCCACCTTGTCCTCAAGGTGGAAAAGAGGAAACTAGAGGTTGATGAGGTCATAAGCTTCCCAAGTAGCTTCAAACAAGGTCAAGGTTTGCCATTTTATAAGCACCTCTTTGGTACCATCCATTAGAGAGCGGACTACTAGAATAGATTCAAGCTAGACAATGAGTTCCAAGTCCTCGGTGAGGCCATAGGGAAGCGGCTAGATGGGAACGGAGTCATGTAGGCTACCCTTGAGCTGAGACACATGGAAAACCGGGTGAATGCGAGCAGAAGAAGGCAAATCCAAACTATAGGCAACTTGTCCAATTCGTTCTACGACGGGAAAAGGGCTATAAAAACGGGGACTAAGCTTCTCATTTTGTTTCGTGGCCAAGGACTTAAACCTATAGGGCTGGAGCTTCAAAAACACATGATCCCCAAGCTGGAAAGTCACATTGCGGCGGTGTACATCTGCACTCTCTTTCATACGCCCTTGCGCGACAGATAAATTATGTTTAAGCTCCTCCAAGATGGAGTTACACTCAAACATCTTGTGATTCACTTCTTCTACTGCTGATGGGCAATCTGTGAAGTTGAGTAGAGTAGGAGGATCCTTGCCGTAGAGAGCCTTGAAAGGGGTCATTCGTGTGGAACTATGGTACGTCGTATTGTACCAAAATTCTGCCCAAGAAAGCCAACGGGACTAGTGCTTGGGTTTAGAGCTACAAAAGCACCGCAAGTAGGCCTCCACACATCTATTCACTACCTCTGTTTGGCCATCTGTTTATGGGTGGTAGGCAGAACTGAATTTCAGCGTAGTACCCGAAGCTTTGAAGAGTTCTTGCCAAAATTGGCTAATGAAGATCCTGTCTTTGTCGGAAACAATCGATTTTGGAAAACCATGGAGCCTCACAATTTCTGATAGAAAAATAGCAGCCACCTCTTTAGCATTATAGGGATGGCAAAGACGGATGAAACGACTATATTTGGTGAGTCTATCGACCACTACAAGACTAGTATTGTGCCCCGAAGACTTAGGTAGCCCTCTAATGAAATCCATGCTAATGTCCTTAAATACCTGAGTGGGAATGGGTAGGGGTTGGAGAAGGCCTGGTGGTTTAAGGGCTGAATGTTTATTGAGTTGGCAAACAGTGCATCTCTTCACAAATTCTTGAACATCCCTCTTGATTCCTTCCCAAAAAACAAGGCTAGCCACTCTTTTACATGTGCAAAAGAAACCTAAATGCTCGCCAATTGGGCTGCCATGAAACTCCTCAAGCATCTTGGGGATGAACTTGGAGAATTTTGGAATAACAATTCTATTTTTGTAAAGCAGACAACCTTTCCAGAGATGGTAGTGGGGTCTACTGGTGGGGTCGAACAATAGATCATGTATAGTGGTTTGTAGCTTCGGTTCCTGTTGAGCTTCAGAAGCTAATTCATCAAAGTCTGAAAAATGGGCCACAGTTATGGCAGCTAGCTCACTTACCTCCTCTCTACGAGATAGTGCATCCGCCACTTGGTTGGAGGATCCTGGTTGGCAGTGAATTTCAAAAGAAAACCCCATCAGTTTCGAAATCCACTTCTGTTGTTCGGGAGTCTTTACTCGCTGGTCAGTCAAGAACTTAAGGCTATGCTGATCCGTCCGAATAATGAACTTGCGCCCAATGAGATAGTGACTCTATTTATGGACAGCGAACACTATAGCCATGAGCTCCCATTCATAAACCGATTTCTGCTTTGATTGACAAGAAAAAGCTTTACTAAGGTAGGCAATTGGGTGTGATCTTTGGACCAAAACAGCCCCATTCCTTGCCTCGAGGCATTGGTATGAACTTCGAAGGGTAAATCAAAATCAGGCATAGCTAGTACTGGAATTGTTGTCATTGCTGTTTTGAGGGATTCAAAGGCTCTTTGAGCGGACTCATCCCATGTAAAAGAAATCTTTCCGAAGAAGTTGTGTTAACGGTTGTGCGATCATTCCATATCCCTTGACAGAACGACGGTAGTAGCCCGTTAGCCCCAAGAATCCCCTCAATCCTTTTATGGTGCGGGGCGCTGGCCAAGACAACATTGAGGCAATCTTTTGCGGATCAGCTTCCACCCCTTTGGCTGAAATTAGGTGGCCTAAGTATTAAAGTTTCTGTTGTGCAAAAAAACACTTCTTGCGGTTGACAACTAACTCATTTGCCTTAAGAATCTGAAAAACTTGTCAAAGATGTTCCAAATGGGAGTACGAATCTGAAATGTAACTAAGTATATCGTCAAAGAAAACCAGGACAAACTTCCTTAAAACTGGCTTGAAGATGGTGTTCATTAAAGCCTGGAAAGTGGAGAAGGCATTTGTTAATTCGAAGGGCATAACCAGGAACTCATAGTGCCCTTCATGAGTCTGAAAAGCAGTCTTAGCTATGTCCTCCTCTCTGACTCTGATCTGATGGTACTCGGATTTCAAATCCAATTTAGTAAAGATCGTTGCTGTAATAACTACTTCTTACTCAAATACTCATAAAAATATACATAATAAAATACATGTATAATAACATAAGTAGTTGGGCCCAAATTTTTCTTTTATTAAACATATACATTCTTTATACAAAATTAGTATCATAAATAAAAACTATCAAAAACTATGTAGACAGTGTAGCCATTCATCCTTGTGTGCCAACGTCCATCCGACCGTGTCCTCACCTAAATCTTGCAAAAACATAGAAAGACAACGGGGTGAGCACAAATAATGCTCAGTAAGTAAACCCTCTAGTCGTCTATTCCCGTAACTCTATCTCTCTAAGTCTTTCCTTACAATTTTCATTTACTCTCTCTTTTGTACTTCTCTCTGTTTTCTCTTTCTGTTTCTCTCTCTCTATTTCTCTTTCTTAGAACTCTTTTCTACTAAAGAGACTCTCTTTAGTAAGTCACGGCCCCATCTTACCGGGGGCACGGCCGGGACTCGCTCCCGCTCTCCGTGACTTCTACTCGTTTTTAGCTGATCGGACTCGGTTATGCATGGATTTAGAACCCTTGGCGATGTGAGTATATAATCTCTCTCTCGGGTACTCTCGGGTATAGTCCTCATCCCCATGCACTCTCACGGGCTACACCACTTCTCTCTCTCATACTCATGCCGCTCTCTCAATGCGGCGTACATGCAGGAATACTCTACCCATTACTCACAGGTTCCCCATCGCACAACCTACTCTATTCTCTTTTCTCTTAATAAAGCTCACACTCAAAGCTCTCTGAATAGTAAGGCACACAACACATCCACAAAATCAAGAGCAACTATGTAAACCAACAATATATTGATTGAAGATTGAACAGTTTTGATGAGCTCCAATCAGACTTAATGCAAATAAAGAAAATAAGAAAGGAAAGTCCTAGCAATTCGAGGAGCTAGGGGCCTCCATGGACAACCCTTTTAGAGAAAAATATGATCTATATATTCCTTATTCTAACTACCTTAATATACTAGTGACCTTTACCCATATTCCTGCCAAGTACTCTACTGCCACTTGCATTTCCTCTAACTGAATCCTACTGGCATAACAACTTTTAGAGACCACCTTTATTGTTGATTTACACGTCTCACACCCATCTGCCCCTATTCCCCTTGTATTGATAAACCTTATTAATAGGGGGCCTATCAATACTACCCTTCCCTTGAAGACCCACCTTGTCCTCAAGGTGGAAAAGAGGAAACTAGAGGTTGATGAGGTCATAGGCTTCCCAAGTAGCTTCAAACAAGGTCAAGGTCAAGGTCTGCCATTTTATAAGCACCTCTTTGGTACCATATGTTAGAGAGCGGACTGCTAGAACAGATTCGGGCTAGATAGTGAGTTTCAAGTCATCGGTGAGGCCATGGGGAAGCGGCTGGATGGGAACGGAGTCGTGCAAGCTACCCTTGAGCTGAGACACATGGAAAACCGGGTGAATGCGAGCAAAAGAAGGCAAATCCAGCCTATAGGCAACCTGTCCAATTCGTTCTACGACGGGAAAAGGGCTATAACAACGGGCACTAAGCTTCTCATTTTGTTTCGTGGCCAAGGACTTAAACCTATACGGTTGGAGCTTCAAAAACACATGATCCCCAGGCTGGAAAGTTACTTCGCGGCGGTGTACATCTGCACTCTCTTTCATATGCCCTTGCGCGACAGATAAATTATGTTTAAACTCTTCCAAGATGGAGTTACGCTTAAACATCTGGTGATTCACTTCCTCTACCGCTGATGGGCAATCTGTGAACTTGAGTAGAGTAGAAGGATCCCTGCCGTAGAGAGCCTTAAAAGGGGTCATTCGTGTGGAACTGTGGTACATCGTATTGTACCAAAATTCTGCCCAAGAAAGCCAACGGGACTAGTGCTTGGGTTTAGAGCTACACATCGATTCCTTTTATTTACTTTGGACTTTGAATCCATCAGAGATTTTCATATAGATATCAATATCCACTGTACATACAATACGCTATGACAACGTCTAGAGAGCCGCAATCGAGTCCTTTTGAATTGATAAACCAATTAAGTATTGAAATGTGATAGCATCCATCATTGGTGAATACATCTCATCAAAGTCAATTTGGGTCTCTGTAGGAAGCCTCGAACCACAAATTTGGCCTTATACCTAGCAATCTCATTTTTTTGATTCGTTTCCTTGTGAATACCCACTTGTATCCTACATGTTTCATGTTTTCAGGCATTTGGACTATAGTCCAAATACATTACGGTTTGCTAGGATTTTAGTTTTGCTTGAATTGCCTCTTCCCATTTTGGCTATCATGTCTTTGTTGACATTCATTAACAGAACATGGCTTAAACATCGTTCATGATTTCAACATTTATTACGTATGAGAATATGTTATCGCAATTTGTCTCACGATTCCACATTTCTCTAAAATGAGCATAGTTTATAGAAATTTCTCCATTTTTATGTTCTTGTATTCCTTTAGGGATTTCTTCCTCTTCAGGCTTGTGTCCTTTTAGGGACTTTAACTCTTTTGGATTAGTTTAGAGGATGTGGAATTGTCAATTATTCCAGTATTATCAACATTGGCACCTATTGATTCCGTGCCTTTCGTTTCCTAGGAACAGTATTCTTGGCTCCAACAGGCTTACCACGCTTCTGGCGTGTAATAGATGAGTCGATCGTTGCCCGTATGATTGTTTCATTGATAATATCAATCCTTGCTAGTGTATTAATAGCAGGAATGTGATGTCTCGTTATTTTTGCTGCATTTGTAAATGCATCAGGCATTTGGTTGCAACATTTTGCAAATACGTTATTCTTTGCACTTCAATTTTAATTGAGATGGTGCAGATCTAAATGAACATAGATTTTACTTTCCAGGAAAGTTCAGGCCTTACTTCAGGAGCTTTACCTTTTTCCCTGAAGAGAGAAATTGTCTCATCAAAATGGCAATTTGCAAAATGGGCGGTAAACAAATCACCCACCAAGGCTTAAGATATCTGATGATAGATGTGGTCATAGCCAACATATATTCCCAAACGACGTTGGGGTCCTATTTTGGTGCTTTGAGAGGGTGCTTGAAACTTGCACACACACAACCAAAGTTCTTAAATGAGATATATTAGGCTGATGCCTAAATACAAGCTATATTGGGGAGTATTGTGATATGCAATAGGTCTTAGCGAATTAATGCCACAGCATATAAACAACATAAACCTAGGTAGAAGTCGATAATTGCATCGTAGTAGCAAAGTTCTTGCAATTAATTGGATACGCTTTATAAATGACTCTACCATACCATTCTGGGTATGTACATGTGGTACTAGGTGCTCACCATCATTCCATTGTAGTACAATAGTCACAAATGCCTTTGAGGTAAACTCACTAGCATTGTCCAAACGTAATGCTTTAATTGGGTAATTTGTAAAGTGTGCCCGTAATCTGTAATTTGTGCTAGAATCTAACAAAGGTAGCATTACGGTTGATAGTAGAACACATGTGACCATCGTGCCAATGCGTCAATCAGTACCATAAGTAGCGGAAAGGTCCACTTGATGGATGAATAGATCCACATATGTTCCCATGGATTCTTTTAAAAATGATGGGGTTCCAAACCTACTTGTGATGGATGGCTTAAGGTGCAATTTGCCTTCGGAGCAGCAATACAAGCACTCTCATTAGGTGATAGAATCTTCAGGTTCTTTATGGTGACCATATGAGTTTTTTATGATTCTACGCATCATAGTGGATCTAGGTACCAGGACGGTCATGCCAAATCTTAAAAAGTTCAGGATCATTGAACTTCTGTTTCATAACTACATAGACTTTAATTCTTTGGAATGTGTAATAAACCCTGATGAGAAGCAAGAAGTTTCTCCAGTAATGCTTTTGACTGAAATATTAGCAATGATGCATAGAAACTCTTCATCCTTTTCACTTAAAGTTTCAATGTGGTATCCATTGAGTCTTTATCTTTAACCAAGTAAATTTCTTCTGGATTTGCTAAAATATAAGCATCATGGATATTTAATTTAGTTTCGCCTGTAACAAGAGTGTCGCTCTTCCAAAGCCCTCATTTGTGTTTACAGACCCTGATGTGGTATTACTTTAGCTTCAGTAAATATCAATCCAAAAATATTTTCTATCCTGAAGGATGGTGTGAGTTGTTGCATTGTCACTATACAAATGTCTCCCATCCATCAATGATATCAATGTTTCATTTTTGAAGTTCATCCTTTACAAATTTTTTGTTTTCATTATGAGGTGTTTACATAACTTAAGAAGGTACAAACAGCCAAAATTTCATAAAAAATGCATAGTTCAAAACATGACAAAAATTCCAAAAATCTTGGAAATCATAGGCATTTTCATAACTTTCTAATATTCCATATCAGTATCTCTAAAGAAATCTGAGAAATTAAGGCTACTCGGATCAAAGTTATCAATATGATTTGACTCAGCCTCAGTTAGATTTGTCTCTATCATTTTGTTCTTAATCGATGTTTGATACAACTCCCTAATGCTGGCGTATGGCAGGTACGTGACCAATGGCCCTTTCCTCCACATCTATAGCACTTGTTTCATTGTTCTTGTTCTGTGGTGGCTTCTTTAATTTTTTGATTCAATCTTGTTCCACTTCAGGTGGTGTGACTGAAATTTCTTGTTATGACCACCTCTGGGTCGATAGTTATTTTCACCATGACCTCGACTTGGACCCTGCCCACACCCACGATTATTACTGCTAGTCGTTGAGTTCACTTCGGGAACGGTTGGGAACCAGTGGGGCAAGTTTGGTGGTTTTTTAGCAACAGTTCATTATTTGCTCAGCCACAAGTAACAAGAAATTATTCAGAATATTTCTTAAAGTTACGCTCCTTATATGCTGCTCAGCAGAAGCATATTGGGGTGGAAAGTGGAGAATGTTTTTTCCAACATATTTCTTCATTTATTTTCTCTCACATGTTCTTAATTTAGAGACAATCCCAAATAAAGCAAATTATATTCACTGATAGATTTATAATCCTGTAGCACTAAATAGTCCAATCATACTGAGCCATTGGGAGTATTACTGATTTGTTATGTTCAAATCTCTCCTTCAAATTAGTCCACATTTGAGTGGATCTTTATATCCTTATACTAAGCCTGCACACCCTTCTTGGATATGATGCCGAAGAAAATAGTAGCCTTTGATTTGTCTGTGCAGGGACATCTGTTTCTTCCTTTGACTTCACCTAGTTTTATAGATTCCAAATGGGAGTATGTCCAGGGCCCATTCATCATAGTTTTTTTTTCATCTAGTCTCTTTATATATACAAGACAGTGGACTATGATTCGTTTTGAGCATCCGAATCACTTTAAAATCTTCTTTCATTTATTTATTGCATTTATCTTCACGGTAATTTCTAAGGGCATCTTGCACTTTGCACATGTGAGTTGTTGGTGTCAAAATCATGCATCAATGTTTGGTGCTAGAAGGAGGGCTTAATTTAGTATTCGCTTTTCATCAAGAATATCTGATTAGTCATTTTTGCTCGCGAACAAGGTCGTGGTCTTGAAACCGAGCGAACTAGCACCAAACGAGGAGATCCCCTAGGGTAAATGATACTTTTCCCGAAGTACCTCTAATTCTGCAGGGTCTTGCGGTAGATATTCCCTCGAGCTCACAGCTTGACCTAGTTGTGATAGTTACCTAGAGAGGTTTAACTCCAAACAGTTAGCCGAAAGATAGATCATTTGGTTCAAGTCGTACCGCTCGATACCGTCAAGGTGGTGCTCCGCCTAAGATGCCTATAGGTCGTGCTAAAGTGGCAAACGCGAAAGCCTATGCGGTACGCACGACAAGGGTAAGGAGAGGGAAAGCAAGTGGTAGATAATGGGCCAAAGGCCTCCAAGGGACCAACGGATACAGGTCGTGAAACAAGTATATACCTATGGTTTTGTGACTTGGCGTATGTCGCATCATGAACTATCCCACACCACATCGCATGGGCACCTTCACAAAGTACAAGACAGGAGATTCCCATTATCCACCGGAAGGATGATCCTGCACATCACAGTGGGAAATTCCCACCATCTGCGGGTCAGTTCTGACCCCTATGGAGGTCGGGATAGCTCCCCTAGCCATTTAATGCCTTCACATGACTCTAGCTCATGTATGTCAAGGTATCCAGGGCTCCGCCGAGGCGAGGAAGGTCTGACCTGGGGTTTTTCCTTAACTGTAATTGTGAAGGTCGAACCACGTTGCGGAAAGTGATCCATAGGTAGCTCCGCTGCCTCAGATTTAAGAGTTACAGCGACCTCTGGATCAGCTTAAGCTTAGCAAAATGAGTACGAGCAATCGTTGAGGCCTTTTCTCCACAATGTTGACTGCTCCTCTCCCCTCAAGGTTTAGGATGCCTAATAGCGAGCATTCAATGAGAATTTTGATATCAGGATCATCTTTATGAGTTTAACGATCTCATGGAGCTTCACCAAGTTTTTAACTTAGCTAAATGTCGTTGTTTGGCAGTGACTCTGACTGCCCATGCCAAGCGTTGGTTTAGATTTCTCCTTCCAGGATCTATTAACTCGTAGCAGTAGCTGACTCATTATTTTTAAAACACTTCTAGTCTACTATAGAAAGTTCTCATGCTGTTAGCTATTTGAGCACATACGGCAGAAGAGGAATGAGTCCCCCCAGTCCTATTTGACAGGTTTCATAGGGAGCTGCATAAGGTGGCTAATACACCCGAAGACTCGTTCAGACTCTCATTATCGTAGGTCACAAACCGACTTGTGGAAGAAGCTACAATCTGAGGACGATATTTCCCTTAATCGCTTCTACAATCTTACAG